CTCTGCGCATGCGTGCTCCCCCCACCCTCTTGCAGTACCGAATTTCGGACACGCGATGGCAGCAACCAATAAAATACAGGAAGAAAAGCTCAGACTTCCTTCCAGCCCTCTTGCAGTGTCACAGAAATTCCCACCCTGAATGAAGAGGGCAATTCTTCTTTTGTTTAACAGAACGTTATTTGCAAAGGTCTCACACCGATGCTGGAGATTTACTTGAGCATTAAAGCTGCAGAGAAATGAACTCCAAACAACAGCGAGGTGTTCCAGAGAAGCGTGGGGCAGGCAGCGTGAGAAGTGATGGATGGGTCTAGCTGTCAGCTGCAAGGTAGTTCTCATTTAGGTCAGAGCCACTTAATTCACATTGGTAATGGAAAAAGGAAGCTTGGATTTTAGCATCATTACTGCTTATGACACCAACACTGGCCCTCTGTCTGCTGCATCGCTCCATGCTTTGCAGAGCAAACTCAGCACTCAACAGCATGGACAAAAATGCACAAATGGTTGTAAACACACCCATGAGTTCTGCAACAGTAACCATGGAATAGAGCCTCTAGGCTAGGCAAAGACCTTAGCTCCTTTTCTTGCCCTGGAAAACGCATATTTACGAGTTGACACTTAGGAATGTGCATCCAAACAGCAGTTCCATATTTCTATATACAGCTTAATTACTGTCTTTTTAATGACTATGTTAACAGAACTCAGTCTGTAAAGCAACCATACTGCTGGATTTAGATTACAATATTACCAGCTGCAGCTTAGAAGCTGCCGCTTTTGTTGAAAAGCTGCTGGAATCTGTTAAGAGCAGCTTGCAAATACACATATGGAGCAGAGGGCTGCAGTACAGCACCATAGAATAAATGTGTGAATGATGCTCTAAAACCTTCCTCACCTCCCACACTGACTTACAGACATGTATGAAGCATGAGCTGCTTCCCATGGTCACTTTCCCCATCTCCTTGCTCAGCTTTAGGAAGACACACGATTTCCCCAAAGATGCTCCTCAGAGGGGAAGCAGCTGCCAATCCTCCATTCTCTGCTTCTGCAACCCTTTAACACAGGCATCTCAAATAATTCTCTTATAGAATGTGCATAGTAAAGCTTTAAAAAAAACACAAGTCAGGGAACACCAATAAGCAAAATTTAGATAGCAAGTCTTTAATGTCACAGGTTCAAAGCCACCAAGGATTCTTTTGCAAAGAGATGACATACATAAAGCAAACAGTTTTTAATAGAGCAGAGTCTTACTAAGAGAAATAGAATACAAACCTGGAATTAAACTTGGGTGTGGCAACAGAAACAAAAAACAAAGGAAGGAAGTAGCAACCAGGAATTAAAGTTAGCCATACCTTAAAAAAAAATCCATACCATAGCTAAAGAGTGAAATATCTTCACACAGCTTTACCAGCCATAAAGATTAACAATAAAATGAGATCCTTGGTATTAAGAGTAATCTGTCGTAAGACTTTAAATGATCTTCTCAGACAGCTTGAGCTTCATAGAGCTCTGCTTTTCCAAGCTCTTGAAAAGCAAAGACAGTGATCTTAGAAAAGCAAATACAAGCTCTTCATTTTGTAAGGTTTAAGCCAAATGTATGCCTCCACATATAGGTTTTAAGAACATTAAACTACTTAAATAGTATCTGTTCATAGAGACTACCCTTTCTCTTGTAAACAATGAACATTTGTGCCCAGGTGTTTTTTGTTCCCCTGTTTAAATGCATTGAACAGTTCTTTGTCAAGAGAATGTATGGAGTTCAATTCAATTTGGATCAGCAGATAGAGCTAGATGTTGTTCTACTGTACCTGGCTTCCTTCCTCCCTGCCCATACTCAGTTCCATGAGTAAAACTTCACCTAATGATCTAGAAAGTGGTTTTGAGAGAGCAGAGTTCTCTTACATTAGAGGCAGCCAGTGGCTCTAAGATGACTCCCAGAAAACTAGTTTATCAGAGATCTGTCTGACAGGTCTGTAAAGTTAAATGCCTTGTAAGAGGTTTTAAAGAGAACCTGTGCATTTCGTATTTAAAGAAATAAAAGCTCACAAATAGAACAGCTCCAGTAAGTACACAATTTACTGTACTTGACTCCTCCCCCTTCTATTCATGGCAGCATCATAAACTGCAAGTAGCTTTATATCTAGTCCAATTTATCAGTAACTTGCTATTATGTATCTCAACTACTACACTGAGATAGTCATCACCTTTTGAACGCTTCAGTATAGAAAAGACATCCCCAGAAAGTGCAACAAACCCAATCTATTGCTTACGTTTCCTAGACAGATACAAGGTTCAGTCACTTGTACCCTCCCCTTGTCTTTTGCAAGACGCCAGGAGAACATTTACCCATCTTGCTAGCCTGCAAACCCAAGATAACTGTACCTTGGTCTCAGTCTCAGAAGAAAAAGCAAATAAAGTATTTTTCCTCTTGAAAAAATAGAAAAAAAGCAATGTATCCTAATACCGTTACAGACTCAGGTAGAAAAATCAGTTAACTTCCATTCTGTAAATTAATAGAAGGAAGAAACAAACTGGAGCGAGAACTCAAGGCAGCAGTTCTAAACACAGCGTTCCATATTTACAGAAGGATGGCAGCACTAAGTTTCATCTGTTTGTCTTTGCACCACTGCATGCTTGGGCAAGACGAACCTAGAAGGAAACAGAAATTAATCAGTAGCCACAACTGGTTGCCACTTCTTCCAGAAGTGGAATAAGATGATTTTGATACATTTTCTGAAAACATTGAAAATCATTCTCTTCCAACTAGCGTATAATTTATCCACAGTTTACATCAAACCAAAGGTGAGGAAAAACTATTCCCCACTCTGCTTCCCTTTTCATGACCAGCAACATAAGTCAAGATACAAGACACAGGGAGTTCAACTGTCTAGTGAATTGGAGCAACAACACAGCATTGCAACTGCAACTGAATACAGTTACCGAAAGCTTCTTCATAATTCCTTGGGCCTCTGGATTCAGATGAAGAAGATTCTTCTTGGTCAAATCACTTGCTGTTAAACGAATGCTCTATAAAGAGAACAGATCTCAGTCACTTAAATATACAGCACAACATTAGTCTACGCTCTGCTCAGAGCAGCTTGAACTGCTCCTACTTCTGACTAAAAGTTTTAAAAAGCTACTTCAAAATTGTATCAATCCCCTATCAACTCTGATGGCACAGCTAAATAGGCTGAAATGTTTATACCCCTCCCTGAAGCCCCCAAAAAGTTGCAAGCAGTTTTTGCAGATTCCTGTCCCTGGTTTACCTCTCCTCCTCCAACAGGAACAGTAATGAAGATATCGTTGCCGTCAGCAAGGGGGCTGCCATTGGCAGAGATGGTGTAAACCCGCTCGTTCAGCGCAGGCGTGCGCAGACCCGGCGTCTTGAAAACCCTGAAACATTTCAAAGTTAAAGAACCACTTTCATCGCAGATGACTGAAGTAATCCCAGACAAACTCAATATTTTCTAATGGAAAGGATTTAAAACCATTTTCTCTGTGAAACAAGGATGACAGGAAGAGGGGCTCACTGTGTCCCACAAATAGATGGTCTATCTATAATAGAGCTAGAATGACGAAGCAGCAAAAGAGCGACTGCCTGTGAGGCCTGAACAGATTCAGAAATGGTTCACTGAACAGACAGGAGAAACATTGCAATTTAGACCTTTACAGAGACTCAGAATTTGCAAAGGTAGAGTCAGCAACATGCAATTCTAACTCCACAGAACACCAGGGTTCTGGGTGCCAGTCAGAAATGTTATCTCTGCCTCAATGATACCATTCTCATGTGGGATTTTCAGATAATGCTAAGCATGTTCTATAAAAGAAGTCCTGAAAGAAAACCAAGTCAGGCAATGCCAATAAAGCACTCAAACTGCAAATCTTTCATTTCACAGATTCAAAGAACCAGCAAGGACTATTTTAAAAACTGATAACAGATGCATAAAGCAAACAGTTTCTAATACAGGGAAGAGACTTACTAAAAGACAATCACAGAATACAAACCTGGAATCAAATCTGGGTGTGACCATGGAAGTAGCTCCCCGACCACAGATATCCACAATTCTCCCATTAGCTGGAGTAATAAAGTTGTTTCTGCTTGATCTGCTAAAGTTAAGGGAAAAAAAAGGACATCAAGCTCTAAAGAAACACATTAACAGATGTACAAGCTCTGCCTTACATGGTACTTGCACAAGGGGGCAACTAAAGACGACCAGAGGCTCTTACCGATGAAAGGTAAATACCCAAGCCAGGCAGAGCTGGTCCTCAGAGGAGAGGAAGCTACTCTCCCTTCATTCACTATTAATTCATTGATTTTCTACTTCATGGCCTCTAAACTAGCAAGCCTACCAAATCTTACTCCATTTCCCTTGATTTGTATCCGTAACACACTCCCCTTTTCTGAAAGAGAGAGGAAAAAGTGATAGATATCTCCTTGTACCTTTTACTCATGCGCTTCACTCTCGATGAAGGAGCTCTCCTGTTCCTGAACGCTGGTGCTTTTTTACTGGATGCCTTTATCTGGAAGAGATGACTCAAAACAGTTTTACTGTCACACAACATCTAGGCCCAGCTTCCATACAAAAGTTTGACTCAATAGCTTCTGTTCTAAAGCACAAAAAGCCTGAACCAAGTGACAGACAAACTCCTATAAATCTTGCCATTTTAATATCTTTCTTACATTTTTTTTCCCCCTCTGCTATAGAACACTAGGAGGACATTGGGCAACATGAACTTTTAACCTAATCCAGTAATGTCCACATTCACTATGGCCCAGAATAAAAGAAGCAGAAATCAGTATTGCTCAAGTTAAAAGTATCTCTACTGCAGGAAATATCAGTCTCTATACAAGTACATTAGTTCAGAGCAAAAAGATGAGACGCGAGATCTTGTAGATGTACAAAAGCAAGAGAAGCAGCAAGCAAGCAAAGTGACTGCACTCTCTAATACCAAAAATTTCAAAACTTTTATCACTAAGCCCTACAAGAGGCCTCTTCAAAGTGCCTTGGACAGCTGCGCTGTCACAGACATCATCTCAATGAAACCCCTGAAATCTCAAGAATAGCCAATGCAAGGAATGTCTATTTACCTTTCCACTTTTTGGATTAACATTTTCAGTTTCTAGTTCTGCAAGAGATTGGTTATCGTGTTTTGTTTTCTTTGCTTGAGGAAGCAAAGGAGACTCTGCTTCTTCTTCAATAGCTTCAATATCCTGTTTAGATTTTTCAGCTAAAAAGAGAAAGCATTATTTGAGCCAGAAGCAATATATTGTTAGATAAGAGTTGGGGTAAAAAGTAAATAACTACAAGTATTTTTGGCAACAATTCAGTCCAAAAATGCAAACTCCAAAAGTAAGGGTAGAGAGAACACTATTCTGTTTAAGACTTTTAAAAAACAGAATGCAATTCCTTTTCTTAACAAGAGTAAAAGAAGTATTTTCTAGTATTTAAACATGTTAAAGGCTGCAAATAAGAGCTGAATTATTCACTGAACACAGACCATTATGAACTTTCATGCTATGGAATTCACCACAATGCTTAAAAGCAAACTGACCTTTCTTGATGATTTTTAAAGGCGTCTGAATAACTTCAGCTGTTATTTTATTTATTTCCATTATTTCCAAGTCTGCCTACAATTAAAAACAGTCATGATACCATTAGGATCACCAATAGCTGCAGTGAGGCAAATTTATAGACTAAATCCCCAGTTATTTTGCAATAGAAATACATCCATATTCAGCTGCTGTGCTCAAAGGGGAGCTTTTGCATACTCTGGAAGTGGCAGTAACCTAAAGGAGTAGCAGACTCCCCAGCAGTGACAAGCAGTGACAAGCCAGGAGTGCTGTGGATTCTGTCTTGGCCTGTTCCCTGCTGCAAGAGCAACACGATTAGGCAAAGCCCGTAACAAACCCAGCAAGTGTTTGTAAACTTCAGGGCCTCCCGGTTCCTTCAGGAACCGGGAAACTGCTCCTGTGATGGGCATCAGGGCAGGTAGGGTTTCCACGGGACACCTACCGTGGCAGCCTCCTCCAAGACCTCTTTGCTTCCTCCTTTAGCTGCAAGGAAAGGATGAGAAAAAGTTAATGCACACGCAGGGCGACCCATGGGGCCAGTTCAGCCCCCAGCAAGGGGCGGGCTAGAGCCGAGGGCCGCCCCGGTGCCGCTGCTGTCCCTGCAGTACCAAAGTACTCGTGCCACCTCATGCCGCGCAATGCCAGCGGCAGCCGCAGGATCTCGATGCCGTAGAGATCTCCCACCTCCTGCGCCAGGCGCTGCCCATTCGTCCGCAGCCGCTCGATCCGGCTCTGCACTGCAGAGACACGCGCGGGCTCAGGGCGCCGCCGAGGACCCTGTCCGGCTCCATGTCCACAGCGGCCCCTGGGACCCCATCCCCTGCCCCCCACCTCCGGCCGCAACCGACCCCCCGGCGCACGTGGCCCTCGCTCCCGTCGCCCTCCGGACCTCCGCACCTCGCTCCCGCCGCCGGAGCCGCCCCGGGTTTCCTTCCCCACGCCGCCCCCCCGATTTCCCCTCCCCCCCTCCCCCCCCGGCTCCCCCCCCCCCACCGGATCCGCCCCTCCCCCTGCCCCCCCGGATCCCGCCGCCCCCCAGATTCCTCCTTTCGCTCCCGCCGCCCCTGGGCCACCCTCGCGGTCGAAGTCCTCCAGGAAGGCTGCGAGCTTCCTTCCTCGCGCGCCTCCTCTCGCGTTCTTCCTGCGCGCGGGGGCCATGGCGGCGGGCTCAGAGTTCGGCGTTGGCTCCGGTACCAGTAGGCGGTCGGTGCCCACCTCGCTCCTAAGGCGTGCCGCCCGCGCCCGGCCTCGTTTAAATCAACGGCCGCCGCAGCGCGACCAATGGGCGCGCACGCCGCGCGACGCGCTGACGCCGCGGCGGTGACGCAGGACGGAGCGGCAGCGGCGACTCAAAGGCATGGCGGACGGCGGTATGGC